CATTTCCTGGGCACATCAGCAGTCCTGCTTGTGCTTTGAAGTTGTACGCAGCACGACTTACACATTTTCAGCCTTTGAGGCAGAAGAGCTTTAGACACTTGCACGGTGTACAACAGCACTAAATATACAGTCCTTGTGCAAACACTGCAGCTCATCCACACTGACACGGGCTGCCTCATAAAAGAACAGAAATGTCCTGTCAAACCTGATTGCTCTAAGTAACAGCAATTCTGCCTCAGATAGGTTTTGTTTTCTGATTTATGGCAGCTTTATAAGCAGTAATATTGTCTCAGTGAGAAAGAAGAGCAAACAGAAACTGCTTGTTTTCCAGCTCCAGACGGCTTCTCTTATGGCGGCTCTTTTGGAGAGCTGAGATCCACCTGCATGGAGGAGTTTCCCCCAGCTTTTGATTTTGGATCCTATCTGGATACACTTTCTCAGGTCAACATCATGTATCCTGATTCACCTCCACGGTAAGCACTTCTTTAAGATTCTAAATATTATAGTCCTGCACTTGCAAAGCCTACTAAAGAGGAAAATGAAATTGCTAGACCAACATCTACTCCAAAAATGCAAGTCAAAAGACCCTGCCTACAAACACTTTGTTTAGTTTAAACTCCAGTTTTTCACAGTAGAATGTCTTTACTAAGTAAAAGCACCTGTGCAGGCATTTATCATCTACTAATATTCATATTCATATCAATAACTTTGATGGCATATGAATGAAATACACAAATAAAGGCATCTAACAAAATCTTTTTTTGGAAGAAATTATTCTTTAAGTTTCACTTTTGGAGGGAATTTTTTTTCCAAGAAAAAATTCCTCCCTTTGGTTTTCTACTGTACTGTTACTGGCGGAGGAAATGAGCCATGCCTCAGTGGGTGCCCATCACAGTCCTGCCCAACAGTGTTTTATTGTCATTAGATTAAAAGAGATTTCAAATTTATAATCCCTCGGAACCATAACAGACTTTAACAAATTAGACCATTTAGCCAAGTTTCCAATTAAAGCACATTTGTTACTGTAGTTGCAAAGAATTTTCCCTCACCAGCTTTATTTCACTGTTTGCAAAGATTCTAAAGCCCTTTAATTTTTCTTCTCTTTCAAGCAACTCCCCACTCTTTAATGCTTGCAGAAATTATTGTGAAATAAGCAATGAACATGAAATGTTTATGGTTTTTACCACTGTTGTTCACACACGTTAAAGGTACGACAGCATAAAACAAGGAGTTGGTCTGCTCACAGAAGATCCCACCCAGTGTGTTGGGGAAACATCTGGGTACGTCATTATTTAGCCAGAAATCAAAAAAGTCATTATGGACATATATTCATTGCAATACTGGAAAAAAGAAAAAAAAAAAAGTTTTGGTATACTCAGAATTCAGATATTAACATATGCTGAGACATCACAGATTACATTTACACAAATTAATATGTAATGCAATCTCCATCATCCCTCTTACCTGTCACTTACAATTGCAAAGCTAGCAGATGTTATTTGACATTCTACGTAGCCTGATGTGCCACACAAAAGAGGAACAGCTCTTAGTAAACTAACTGTATGTTTTTACAGATATGTAAATGCCCATGTTACACTTACTACTGACCTTACAACCGTTCTGAACAAACAGCAAAAAAGAAAGTGCAAGATACCACTCTAAATCTTTCCGTGTTTTCCAGCAAGCCTCACTTATCTATTGTCTTAATATCATTATTCTATCAGAAAGCACAACTGAAGAAAACATACTGTTCTGGCACACCTAGTAACCACGCTTTACCTCTCAGTCTGGGATTGTTCATTCTGTATGAGTATCTGCAAAGAAGGACGGCTGCCAGTATGGCTATTTAGGCTGAACCTGCACTGTGGAGCTGTAGCTGCAGGACTTTGCAGTGTCTAGTTACCTGGAGTAACAGCATTGCCACAACTGACTCATTTCAAAGAGAGGTATTTCAGAGATGATATAGCAGTTTCTTCCATAGCTGTATGACAGAGTTCATTAGAGGATACAAGAACTGCCCACGAGTGACAAATTTGCTCTTCAGACCATTTGTAAACTCTCTGTATGCCTCATGCACCATGAGTTGATGCGTGAAGGAATTCAGTTACTTCCTCCAAAGAACAGGAGAAAGAGCATTAAACAGAGCAGGCTCCAAGCTTTCCACAGAAAGGTACCTTACGAGCAGCAAAGAATGGGTGATCAACATTTGTTTTCTTCTTTTAAGCAGACTGTGTTTTAAGTTAAGCCATGCCCTTTTCTGACTGCCTGTATACATCAGCAGCAGGGAGAACAGTGGAGAAACCTCCTCCTGTTCTTGCTTTAAGAAGGTAACAAAAAGCAGTTACATACTTTCCCAAGTGTTTCTGGATTTTCCAGACTGGTGAAAGCACACAGCAAGGCCACAAGCACCAGGTGAGGAGTACATCAGGCAGGCCTTAATAAGAGCTCCTCCTAAGCAGCTCAGCAGTGTGAACACATCACTGTTTTTTCTATTCTGGGCATGTTCTACAAGCAACCTTTTATGTATTACAAAGCCATGCTAGATAATAAATGGGCTTTTAGAGATGGTGTAAATATTTTAGCAGAAACCTCACATTGTGAAAAATTGTTCTGTGTCTGGCATCTAAACTTGTAGAACTTCATATAAACCCACTCACAAACTTACACTGGGATTTGGACCCGCACCCACAAGCCTTTACTAATAAAAGTAAATGAGCTGACACCTAGGCAACAACTTGAGCAGGCACTTGGCCAGTTTTCTGAGAATAATCCCAGATTCCTGTGAACAATCATTCAGTACATACCCCTTTAGCACACAGGTCTCAAAAAACTATACTAGGGGTTACTTCCATTTCCAATCTGAAAGCTGCCCAAAGCTGGATTTTCTGTCTCTACGGAGTTTTCTGTTTGGAAGCATATGTGTGGATGAATGTACAGGATGGCACTACATGATCTCTGCTTTCCTGTGAGCTCTCCTCCTCTGTAACAAGGCTGGCAGAAACTGCCCTGTCTCTTTCCTTGCCCTGCAAAACTATTCTGTGCCTGAGGGACATACAGGTGCTCAGGGTGCTGCCTCCTCAAGATACACCTGGAAGCCAAGAGAAAACCCAAGGGCTCACACTGACTACAGACACAAGCAATCATAGCTCATCCCACTACTGTGCAATTCTCCATAACGAGTCAAAAGTAAGGATATTTTATTATTAATGGGTTTTTTTTTTACTGCTATGAAAGCTACATGTTTTAGAAAAAAATGTTTTGGCAAATCAACGAAGTGTTATTAAATTTTACATCTTAGCAAAACAATTTGGAGAAAACTTCAGGAAAAGTAGAGCTTAGCAGATGGCTGAAAGCAAAGCTCTGTAGAAAGACATTTAAATTTACTATTAATACAGGATATATTCCATTGTAACTTTCTCTTCAGAAAAGCATTGACTGAGAAGCACTGTATGAATGCATTGTATTATGCAAGAGCTCAATAAATTTCTCTGCTTCTCTCTTTATACAGTCCTCCATAAAACCAAAGAGTTTGTTTTCTAGTGAGTAGAGCATTAGTAAAGCTGTGGAGAATATTTGGACTCATGGGTGCTAACAGCATTAACTGATGCCAGATGCAGCCTTGAAGCATAGAGAAGACATGCTTGACCTTGTGCATTCAAAATATTACATCACCAGGATCAGTCTTATTACAAATTATAATGTTTTGAAGAGTAGGTTTACTGAAATGCAATTCCTCTTTCTAATTCATACAGTGTACAATTAATGCAAAGCTAAGATAGCATACCCAAAAGCTAATAATGCAACTGGTGGCATAAACAAGAGCAAGACATGAAGGCAGCAAGGGAAGCAACTGCACTGGCAAATACCCTTCAACACACATTTGGAATGAAAGAATTCACTGAGTGAAAACTAGGTGTTCTTAATATGGTCTGCAAGAGGCATCGGCACAAAATCACTAACACCCCATGTTGCAGTGAGAAGTATTCTCAAACATACTGTTTTACTAAAAACATGCTTTCTGGATTGATGGCCAAGGGGTTACGTTAACCAGTTTAGAATGTTTTCAGTGGAATTTATACTGAGGCTTTAAATCTTGCAGCAAGCAGAATAGGAAATTCCACTGGAGAGCCGGAGGTGTGCGCAGCCACATGTCCTCCCTCCTCCAGCTGTGCCACATCTGGGCACTGCCACAGCTTCCTGAAGATTGAGCTGAACAAGAGCTGCTCCTGAACCGCTTCAAACCTCGCAGTGCTGCCATGCCAGACAAATGGCTCCACTCAAATCCAGAGAAGTAGACTTAGCACAAAAAGCAGACCAACATTTAGTCAGCTGTGATCGCCCTTCTCTCTATTTCATGGTTTCCATCAAAGAAAAAGAAACTGCAGCTCATAGTTCAGTGCAAGCTGTATCAACATAGCAAAGCAGATTTTCTGTAGGAACATAAACAGGCTGCCAAGAAAGTGATCAGCGTGCAGCTATAGCTATTCAACGTGCCACTGCCCACTCTTGACTTTCTAGCTGAAAGTCCATTACAGAATTATATATATATAAAATATATACTATATATTGTAATAATAAATTTGTTATAAATATATATTATATGTAATGTTATATATATACATATACATATATATATATATATATAATTTATGCATTATATACATATATATATGTGCACCATCATTGGGAAATGAATTTAAGAAAAGTACCTTGGGATGTTATTAATCTTATTGCTTTGATATCTAAACTGCAAGTTGCACTTGAGGCTCAATTTGATTATCACTGTAGACATTTCCACTGATCATTTCCTTACATTACATTTTGCATTAGATTTAGGGGAATACCATGTGCTGAGTTTTGTCATTACCCTGATAGTTGCTGGCAGTCTTGACAACTTCTATCCACAGACATCCTTTTGGAGTAATTAATGACTTTCTAATGAATTTGAGAACTCTATAAGCATCTGTCAGGTTGATTTTACGTGAGGTGTAGAAGGGAAAAATAAAAACAAAATACAGTGGGTATTTCCAATCATTTCTAAGATACTAAGGGTCTCCAACAGTTTGAGGTGGTATTTTAATAAACAAATACATTCCAGCTGTTACTTTAAGAACTAAACAAAGTGAATAACTGAGACAAAGTAACGTGAAATGATTTGGTATTTATGAAAATAATGTTTAATAAATCACTAATCATGCATAATTTAGAATATAGTTAGTAAATGGACCTGTATACCAAATGGAAAATATTAAAATAAAAAATAAACCTAAGAAAATATGATGCCTCTTGAGATATGCCACTGTAAGAGAAGTTCAGCCAGCAAGGGTAACCTTCTCTCAGGGGAGTTGCACAGTTTCTTTCTAAGGCAAAAACATCACATAAATATCCTTTGTGGTGTTTCCAGCATAGCTCAAACCTATCAGTGCATGTATTTTCCAGGAAAGGATTAGTGATTACCGTCATTAAAAGACAG